CAGAGGCCTCACAGTGCCTGGATACGGAGCACTGGAATCTGGGGGAATCAATTCCCTAGGCTGTTGTTCTTCTCTAGCATGATGCCCTGGGGCTCTTTTCTCTCAAAGCCCGCTCTCAGTTTTGCAATTCTGAGCCTGCCAAACGTGGGGTCTTGCTGGTTCCTGTGATGCCCTCAGGCTATTTTTTTCTATTATCCTGTACTTGGGTTCTTTGGGGGTTTTTTTCTTTTTTTGGTACCAGGGATCGAACTCGGGTCCTTGCACTTGCCAGGCAGGCAACGGAACCACTGAACTAAATCCCTGGCATTGGCTTCTAATGTGTTTAGCAATTCAACCCTCCTCTGCTCTTTACCAGAGCTTCCTTTCTGGCTGAACGCAAAATTTTTAAATCACTCCACTGGTCCATTTGCTCTTACTTTGTTTGTTTTGGTTTTGGTTTGGGAGGGTGTTTTGTTTTGTTTCATTTTGTTTGAGACAGAGTCTCCCTATGATGATCTTGAACTCACTGTGTAGCCCAGGCTGGCCTCCCACTCGCAGCGATCCTCCAGCCTCAGCTTCCAGAGTGCTCAGATCATAGGTGTGCGCCACCACACCCCGGTTGCTCTGGATTCTTAATGTAGAGCTGGCTAAAAGTCCCCAACAGTACCCAAGACATAGCCTGAATGTTTGGCTGCCTTGAAATTTCCTCCATCAGATTAATTAGTCTGCCACCCTTAATCTCAGTCTCCTACAAAGTCTTAGGACATGGGCAAAATGTAGACAAATGTTCTGCTAAAGAATAACACACATGGCCTGGAGTTCAACTGCCAGTGAAGTCTTATTCCCAAATGAAACCTCCTGAGCCTGGTCTTTTCCATCTGCTTTTTATCAACATTCTGGTCTTCTGAGCTCTGACAAGAACCTCCATCAAGCTCACCTTTTAGTGTTCTAATGCTGCGTCCCCAGCCGGCATCTCCAAACCTTCCCCAAGTCTTCCTGCAAGCCAGTCCCTAAGGCTCTGAACCACATGGTCAGGTAACATCAGAGCAATGACCACACTCTCAGTACGAAAACCTGTCTTAGTTACTTCTTTCGTTGCTGAGACGCAAGAGCTGACACCCACAACTCTAAGGAGAAAAGGTTTATTTCGGCTCACAACTTTGTAGAGGTTCCGGTCCATAGCTGACTGGCTCCAAGGCAGGGCAGCCTAGTAAGAGGGGCCTGGCAGAGGAGAAAGAGCTCATGGCACGGCAGGAAGCAGACAGAGATGGAGGAAGGAGGAAGGGAGATAAACACTTCCAGCCACACCTCTCCCCACACCACAGTCAGCTATGAACTCCTCAGTGGACCAATCCACGAAGAGAATCACACCCCACCCATGGGCTCAGTATGCTTTGGGGGGACATCGAGATATAAATCATAATATCGCCGACCTCACAGTGAGGACTCAGAAATCTACACCTCCTCACTGCTCTTTCTACCACGAAAGCCTGGCAGCTAACTGAGGTGTCCTGAAGGCAAAGACCATCTGCATCCTCCTCTCCACGCTATCTCCAGTGTAGTGGGGACTTCCTAATCTTAGTAAATGATACGCTTAAACAACGGATGGGTGGATAGATGAGGGAAGGGACGAGGGATAGAGAGATGGATGATGGAGGGGGAAGAATGGAGAGACAGGAAGCAGATGCTAGACAGAGAGGGATGTAGCCACACAAGATCAGTGACGGACGGACCAGTGGATGGAGTGGTTGGATGAGTGAGTGAGTGAGTGAGCGAGTGAGCGAATTCATGAATAAATGAAGGGCTTCTGTCTACCCAAGGGACAACTTCTCACCCACATGAGAAACTTTGGAAGCTGAGAGGCAGATGTTTAGAAAATGAAGGACTAAACCCAGAGCCTGGACACTGCCTGAGAGGCAACAAGCCTTCTGAATGACGGGGGAAACGGGGCACTTTCTAAGCCAGCCTGAGATGGATGGGGCGGCTGCTCTGTATGGGTCCTTCCGTGCTCCGAACCCAACGAAGGCACACGGGAGACAGCCGGGCAAGTGGGCATAGGAGGGAAACTCCACCCTCACACCCCCGGACTGTGGGACTGTCCTCTGGCTGACCCAGAACCAATACAGACCTCCACGGCAGTGAGAGGGCCAGCCCTGGACACTATGCCTTTGCCACTGGCCTCCCTACCCAGAGGTGACAGTTGCACTGTGATCTGGAGCTCCACTTCCCAGAGAGGGGCAGGTGCCAACTTCATCCTGCTGGGACACTCGTCATGGCTAAGGGCTAGGCAGGGACAGGGAGGGAGGGCAGAGCAATGCCAAGAGCGTCGTGGGCTGATGTGGCTGGAAAGTGCTGGGCACACCTCTAGCAGGCACGGGTGTCCCTACTGGACCAAGTTACAGATAGCAAAAATATCCACAACAGGGTTGGCCCAAAACACCCCGCCCTGCAAAAATACCATCAAGACTACAGAGCCAGTCAGAGCCCAGACCCCCAGCACCCCCGCGTGCCCTGGCTCCAGGCCTCACTCTGCACAGAAGTGCTAACCACAGGTTTACTGTGGCCTTCTCCACGTGGACAAGGAGGATGGCAACGACAGGAAACCACGGCAGGTGGCCACGGAGCCTGGGTGGAGGAGCAGGCCCGGGGCAAGGCTGCCACTGTGGGACCCAAACCTCCGCTGCCAGGGACCAGCGCAGTACACAGTCCTGGGTGACTTAGCCACCGGCCACAACACACACAGGCCACGGCCACACGGCCTAAGGGAGGACACAGCCACAGCTCAGGTGTGGAGTGGGGGAAGCAGCCCAGGCCCACGGCCCCCTCCCAGCCCCACAACCTTCACGGGCACCTCACCACTGCCATTCCAAGCAGGCCCTGGGGAAACTGAGTCACTGGGTGAGGCCACACCTGGTGAGCTGGAACCCAGATCCACAAGCTTAGCTCCTGGCTCTGCCTCCACGGGGCAAGCACTCCATCTTTACAGAGGAAAGCGTGGAGGAAACTGACAGGGAGCGTGCTGCAGGCCCTGTGGTAATCTGCATTCGCTGCCAGACACGGCAGGCAGCCACCCACAGGGAGCCACGGGGCCAGGCGGGTGTGCAGCCCACACATACTGCGGGTCGGAGGCAAGGAGGCGAGGGCCCAAGTCACCCCACTGGGACCTGATAGAGCCCACGGTGAGAAGCCAAGGCAGCCTGAGCTCAGGGCTGAATGGGGAAGACAGCTGGCCGCGCAGGGCCTCAGCAGTGCTCGAGGCTGGACTCCGGCCCTCAGCTCAGCCAGGAACCAAAGTGATGACGTCACCGCCAGGTCCCGCACCCCACACCGTGACTCAAGGTCCAACCCCACCGTCCACTCTCCGCTTCCCACAGGCAGATGCCAGGGTGTGGCAAAGCCCCACCACTGACCAGCCCCAGGAGACGAGGGCAGACCAGGGCCAGGCAGGACGGAGGCCCCAGCACAGCACGCGGCGGAACCGCTGCAGTGACAAGGGCGTCCCTTTGCGAATGCCTGGCCACACAGTTGGCCAGATGTCTGATGAGAGTTTAATGCAAATTTATGTGCATCTTACATCACTGCATTCTGCTGCAGCAAATTAAAAACAACATGAAATTATACACTGAATAGTCTGGACTTTGACTCTGGGCCAGGGTTGGGCTGGGCCTGGCTCTTCTCCATGCGACTCTTCTCAGTGCCAGCTGTGTATGTGAGTATGAGAACATGTGTGTAAGTGTGAATAGGGGGTGTGTGCATGGGCGTGGGAATATTTGTGAGTGCAACCGAGTCCCTCATCTAAATGGCGTGTGTGAACGCGCATGTCCACAACTATGATGCAAACATGTATGTATCTATATGAATATGTAAGTGTGTGAGCGCGTATATGAGTATGTCAGAGCTGTGTGCAGACAGCTGTGTGTGAATGTGTGTGTGCAAGTGTAGTTTGTGTATGCACATGCACATGTGTGTGTCTCTGGCCCACTGGCCTCGTCCTGCCCAGGCCCTGCGGGCAAACTCTGCTCTGCTGTCCACCAGGACCGGCGCCAAACCATCGAAAACAAAGCTGCAGAACTGCAAGCCTCTCGTGGGAAGCGACACTGCATGGCGCCATCCAAGCCTCAAGGCTGCTGGCAGCTGACACCCTCGAGGCACTGTGACCTGCGTCACAGACCCCAAACATGCCTGGGCCCTGGGCACAGGACTGCTGTGTGTCACAGAAGAGACAGATGGAAACTTCTAAGAGCTGATGATCACAGACACACACGGGTTCCTGCAGGAGTCCCCAGACCTCAGGTCTACAGAATCGAGGACTGAGGGGGAGACGCCCCCCACCCCGTGCCAAGTGGCTGCTCATGGGAAGCCCCATCACACACGCCCATTGACATCACGGGACTGCAAACATGGGCTCCTCCTGGACCCGCTCCCCAGCATCTGCAGCTGCAGATATAAAATTCCTTTGCAGTTCATAAATCATGTATTCACAGAACATTTCCTCTGGCACCAAGTCCAAATAACAGCCCTCAAATAAATCAGGTGAGGAGCGTCTGCCATCCCCCATCAGTAGGCAGGAAGCCGCCCACATGGGGCTGGGAGAGAGAGCTCCGAGAGCAGCAGGGACAGGCACTGGCCGGTCACAAGTCCTGACCCCACTGATGAAAAGGAGAAACCATGGACCTGCTGTGCTTCCGACAGCAAGTGACGCCCACATCACTGTACCAGGCCGGCCAGGAAGCTACAACAAGGCCATCCAGGGCCTCTGGCCCCGCCCAGCTCAGGTCCCCTGGCAGTGGGAGCCCCAGCCCTGCTTTTCGCCAGGCCTGGAACACCTGCCACCACCTGAGGGGGACAGGCAGGGCCGTCCTGCTGCCCAGCTTGATGACAGGCCCGCCACTCGAGCCCTCCATTGGGAACCCGGTCTGCACGTGGCGTGGCTTGGTGGCAACCAGCCCCAACCTGTCCCTCGTGGCCCAGCCACACTCCGCACCACATCCACGCCTGAGCCTGGGGATGGGGCCACTCACCTTCCCGAAGTCACGAACATCGAAGAGATCAAAGGGGTCGAACAGCTCGCTGCTCCTCAGCCCAAACTTATCGTGGCAGACTTTGAGGAAGGTGCGGATGTTCTTCAAACACAGGAACTAGAGACAAGAAGGAGGCGGTTAGTACGCTGGCAGGCCCGTGGACTCACAGCGACAGCAGCCACAAGCGCTGTGTGTGGACACCCGCTCTGGCACAGAGGGACAGCCTAGCGGGCAGCTGAGAACTGGCCAGGGCTGGGAGAGGGGCTGGGTAGAGCCCTGACCCCTGCTGGCCGGCCCGCGGTCCAGAGCTGCAAGGCCTGACAAGGCCCCGCGGGAAGATGCGTCCTCCTCCAAGGAGCTTGAGACGCAGCCGGCGGCTCCCTGCTCCCTTCAGCTGTCACAAGTGTCCACCCCACACCCTTGGCCACATGTGCCCAGCACATCCTAATGCTGACCATCATGGCCTGATGTCAGCAGGGACGGTGGAGCGTGCCACACGCGTGACTCCCGGCAGCACTGAACCCCTAACCACTCCAAAGCAACGGAGCCAACAGCCAGAAACCATCCCACAGGAAGCCCTACAGCCCGGGAGCAGCAGCAGTGTAGCACGAGGCCAGACCGCCCACATCACATCTGGGTCGCCTCCTCTCTACCCACCGTCCCACAGCTGAGTTCCTGTCCCAGCCTGCGCGGGCTAGACGTGGACACGGCAGGCACGCGGGGAGGGGCTGGCGAGCAGCAGCACTTCCAGGCCTCATGCAGAAGCAGCCGGCAAAGAATTTCACCAGGCAGCTGGTGGCTGGCCCTGAGTTCGAGTCCCACGTGCACAAGTGTAGCACATGAGACCGGGAGGGTGGCCTGGCTCCTGAGGCCTGGTTTCCCAGTGTACCTGCCTCCCTGGGCTAATTGTGTACCATGCCAGCCCACAGGGGGCATTTGGCACACGGGGGCCATCAGCCCCCCAATGCAGGTCAGCATGGGTATGTGTAAGGCTGGGACCCTGGCACACACGGCCCAAAATGGCCCAGGACTTCAGACCACTCATCAAACCCTCGAGGGACAAACTGCACAACCTGGAGAGAACCTCAGAATGCATCCCCACCGCCCCCAGAAACGGACAAACAGCAGACTTGGCCAGACAGAGGTCAGCAGGAGTCAGAAATGAAGACTCATCCTCAACACACACTCAGGCTGCACAAACCAAGAGCACGGAGAGCACCACAGAGGCACGGGCTCCGACGCTCACCTCCGTCCCCGCAGCAGGCAGGGCCCCGGTTCCCTACCCCGGACAGGCTGGGCCCTGGGCAGAGACCCACTCCTGTTCCCCGACGTCACTCGCTGCACCTGCACCCGTCTGTCTGTCCCTCTGCACACTCTCTTCTGAAGACCCGAGTTGCCGGAAACCGACACTCCCTTACACCTAGGCACCTGAGCCTGCGTCTCCTAGGGACAAGGGCGTCCTCTCCCTAGCCACACAACCCCTGTCAAAACCGGGACAGGGACGCAGAGGCCCCACAGAAACCGCCAGACCTTACACTCCTCACTCTCACAGAGGACAACCCAAGGGTCCCTTACAACAGAAACAAAAGTCTGGTGCAGGGCCCAACCAGGACCACACGCAATTTGAGCTGCCACTGCTACTCAGCCACCGTGAGCCTAGAGCGGGATCCTCCAACAGAACTCTAGAATGATGGCAACATCCTCTGGATTTGCTGTCCAAGAGGGCAGTCACCACACGCGTGCTCACCAGGCACTCAGAATGTGGCTAGTCCAACCGGAGCACTCAGTTTCTCACCCTATTTTAACTAAATTAAAATCCACTTTTGGCTGGAACCTGCTGCTTTGGCAATGAGGGTCTCAAAAGGCTCCTTAAGCTGCGTCTTCAAGGCTTGCTGATTCTGAGGGACACAGACCCACGAGGGCAAGCGATGTTGGGCTCCACTCACAGGAAGTCCCCAGGGCTGCTCCTGGTCCCCTCGGTGTTCAGGAAGAGGTCTCTCCCTCTCCCTCTTCCTCTCTCTCTCTCTCTCCTTCGTCTTTTTTCATGAGTACACGTGTGTAGTACCTAATGTTTACATTCCCCATACAGACCTGGTCCATGCACAGAACACATCTTAATTTCTTTTTTATCCTCTGTCCCTCCTGCCCTCCTCCCACTCCATGTCTTGGTCCCCTCCCCTCGGAGAAAGATCTTTCTCCCTATTTCCTATCATCTATCTTTTATCTTGCTTTTTATTTACACTTTGGGTTTGTAATGCAAGCGGAATCGTGATATTTAAGCTTGTGTGAATTTTATGTTCTGTATGCTTTACTGCAATAAAAAGATAAGATTAAAGACAGAGAGGCAGACATGGAGACTGGAGACAGACACACAGGGCGAAGGCCACGTGACCACGGAAAGCAGGGACCAGAGTGACGTCACTCTGGCCAGGAACGCCAAGGCTGGCCAGCGGCCACCGAGAGCTGGGAGAGGCTGCACTTCTCCCCCTAGGAACCCCGAGAAAGACAGCCACGCCCGGCTCTGACCCCAGGCTCCCAGCCTCTGCCACTGAGACAGTGAGCTCAGGGCACATGGGCAAAGCCTGGCCTGCAAACCTGCAAGGTGGGCCCAAGCAGGCAGCCCCACTCTGCCCTCTGCGTGTCCTGCTCTGGGGCTCACACTGCAGCTTCCACACTGGCTCAAGTATTTTCTGCAAACGGCCATCTCTAATTTCCACAGGGCATTTATTTTAATGCCTCCTCAGCCTCCCACTTTAGAGGTAATTACACAGGGCCTGACCATAATCACAGCTGGCCAGGGCAGGCTTCCTTTCAGGCTCAGATGAACCCGAGTCCATTGCCCAGGGGGCCTGGCCTCCGCTTGGCCTAGCCCTACCCCACCCTTGGCTACTCTGGCCAACCTAAGCTTCAGGAATCCCTCCTGGTGTTGCTCAGTGCCCGTCCCGGGCACCCAGGCCAGGGCCTGGAGGACTTCTAGCATTGGAGTGACAGGCTAGGGATAAACGAGCTGCTCAGTGGCTCTCGGCCCCACTGTGCAGAGCTGGTGCCCGAGGCCCAGCCCCCTTCACAGACTGTGTCCCGAGGCCCCTCGTTTGTGTTTATTCATTCTGTTTACACAAAGGGAAACTGAGGCAGCTAGCATTAGGACCTCAGCACCCAACCCGAAGGCGGCAGACCCAGGAACAAACCCAAGTCTGCTTCAAGACAGGGCCCCTGGGGGAGGGTCTGGGTGGGGTCAGTGCCAGGGCCACCCCTGTCAGCATCCACAACTCCTCAGTGGCCCACCTCCTGCTCTCCTTCACCCGAACGAGCAGAGCAGGGAAACTGAGCCCCAGTGGGGAGCGAGGGGCAGAGCCAGTCCACATTCTTCTCCCCCCATGGCCCCAAGGCCCAAGGGAACAGTCCGCTGGGCCTGGCTGCTCAGAGCCATGCTGTCCCAACAGCAGAGAAATGCAGATTCTAGAAAGGGACCCAAAGGTCGGGCCGAGAGATGGTGGATGGCTTGGGATGCTCCTCAAGTGTGAGGGCCACCCAGCTCGGGTGCTGCTGGACACCCGCTCGGTCTCGGTCAGCCCCTTGGATCTGATCGGGCGGAACCAGATCAGTGCCAGACACAAGGCTCAGGCCAGACTCAGCCAGCTGCCCGGTGTCATCTGTCATTCAGCCTCAGAGGAACCTGGTGGGGGGCGGAGGGACACGGGAGGTGCGTGAGGGCCACCACGCCCCCTTCTGTGTGCAGCTGTAAAACCAACCTCCCATAGTGGAGACAGTGCTCCCTGCCCCACTCAGGACCACCTGGCAGGTTGGGGAGGACAGCCCGAGTAAGGGAGGGGCCCCAAGGCTGTGGGGACCCTACTGCACCCTCAGGGCTCTGGGCACTGCTGGACAGACTGCCTGGCCCTCTGGGGCTCAGCCTATGCTGGACACTGGCCGACCTCGGACACATGAGAGCAGAGGGGGACTCTGAGGCCCCGGAGGGGCTTCCTGGCCGGTCACACAGCACCACCTTCACCAGGGAACTGAGTTTGAACACAGGCAACCTGAGCAGGCTGACCACAGTGTGCCCAACATCATTTTTAGTGCCTCTGCTTCCCCTGTAAGGCACAAGGGGCCAGGACTCTGCCCCCAGCTTGACATGCTGCAGTCGGGTCAGGACAGCGGGGCGCCCAGGTGATGGGGTGGGCGTGGGGGGCATCCTGTCTCACCACGGACAGGAGATCTGGGCTTCCTAGGCTAGAGGCTGCGCCCTCCCTGTGGCTGGCTCCTGCTCAGGTGGCCAAGACAGAGCAGCAGTGGCTGATCCCGCCCAGTGATGTGGCCCCTGCAGACCTTCACCATGAGCACCTGGACATCTCATCTCTACAGCGAGGCATCCGGTCCCTTCCCGCGCTGACCCCTGGGCATTGCACATGCTGACTCTTGGCCACCACACAAGCCCCGCTATACTCGGGGTTTTCCAGAACTCCAGGGGCAAGGCCAAGAGCCCCACCCCTGGCTCCTCACAGCAACCTTGAGTCAGTGAAGGGATTGTCAATTTATAGAAGGAGACCGGGGTTGGGAGAGAGCCCTGCCCAAGGCTGCTAGCTAGATGTGTGAGGCACAGCTGGCACATCTGGGCTGCTCTGCCTCTGAGGCCAGGTCGCTGACCCTTACGCTGCCCTCTGTGAGTCCGATCAGGGGACAACAGGATTTCATAAAGAAAACAGAGCCAGGTGCGGGGGTGCACAGCTGTGAACCCACCACTCAGGAGGCTGAGGCAGGGAACTGGCTGCAAGTTCAAGGCGAGTCTGGGCTGCACAGTGAGTTCAAGGCCAGCCTGAATTGCAGAGCAAAAGAAAACAAAAAGTCCCGTTAAAAACATTAAGCCAAAGCCCAGCCTTTGAGTCCCCTGCCCATCCCATTCAGGAGCTCTGCGTCCACCACGGATCCATCCCCTCCAGGGACTCTGGTTTTGAACCCCAGTGAGCAGATGCAGAATCAGGCGAGAGGAGGACAGTGGCCAGTGGCCTGCAACTGCAACTGCAGCCCAGGCCGGGCCCCCGGGTCTCAGCCTGGCCTCGTGCCCCTCAGGCGTCCCTGGCTGCTGTATCAGGAGGCTGCCAGCAGCCCCCAGGAGG